ATTTAACATTTAATGATTTAGTTAAACATTTGTAAAATGTCTTATTTACACTGTCCACAAATACTGAAGCTATTTCTAAAGTTAATTTAGGATTTTTATGACAGATCAACAATTTGACTCAGGTTTTGTTTACTATTCAATTACCAGATCATGTGATTTTTAGCCCTACCTCCTCTTCTTATCTTCCTCTCTCAAGTTACTCTGTGAATTGTAAACTTCATGGTCTCTGCCTGTACAGTACCACTGACCACAGTACAGTTTATTTTTGCAAGCTGAAATCATGTTTATCTGTACTGGATGTCATTTCTCTCCCTTTAACTCATTTCAGCTTAAGAGTTTAGAACATATCCTTTGCTTGTGTAAACAAATCAATGTGACATCACAAAGAATGTCAGTTCTTCTACATTATAATCTGTAATGACAACATGGATGACAAATATCTGAGTCTGAAAAATAGCAGGTTCTTTTCCTCCAGCAGATGCATATTGCAACAGTCCCCCATCCCACCACTGCTGCTTTACAAACAAAGTAAAACAGGAAGACAGTGCTCATCGCATACAGCATGACTGAAAAAAAAACTTGCCCTGAAGACGACCCTTCTTTCTCATCAAGTTTCTCATAATACTTATGGTAGAGATCAAGGGTGGAGTTCTTTGTGTCCACAAAGCTATTATACAAAATTGTTGGAATGATAGCTGTTTGTACTTGACACTAGTCCAGTCTACAAATTCTGTTATCTAAGGCAGGATGATTTGAATTTTAGATACTGGTAAATCTATAATATTCTGAATAAGTGATGTTTTAAACATTAATTTCTTTCAAACAAAGAAACTCCTGGAAATTAAGGAGAACTCTCTCTCCCCATCACATTTCTCAACTATCCGATGAAAACTTTTATCAGGGCATTTGCACTTGCACTGTTTTCAGAAAATTATACACAGAAGAGGTTTAGATTTCCCAGAACCCCTTTACTATACTAGGAAATCTCAAGAAGGGTCCCCACAAGGGTAGCTATGCTAATCTACTGCAGCAAAACCAACAAACAGTCTTGTGATACTTTAAAGGCTATCACAGGTATTATGGTGTAAGATTTCATGAACACAGTTCAATGTAGACTGTTTCATCGAATGGACTGAATCTATGTTGGCGAAACCTTATACTATTTTTTTTCCCATCTTTAAAGAGCCACACGATTCTTGTTGTTGTTATCTGCAAAAGAGAACAAGGGTCCTTATAATGGTTAATTTGGATACGAAGTTTGTAGATTTCATGCTCTATCCAGTCCTACTATGGATACAATGGATGGGCATCTTTAAACTCTTTTGGGGTGCTGGGCACATTTGGCATTTTTAATTTTTTTATTTATTTGGGTATTTTATCCCATCCAATTACATCACGTGTCTCTGGACGGAATAAAAAAAAAACCAAATAAATAAAAATAAAAGCATTGAGGAAGCATTGTGGATGCCATCACAGAATTTTTGCTCTGGTGGGCAAGACCAATCACCAAGCACAAACGTAAACTGATGAAGTTCAGAAATAACATAGCTTGTCAAAGAAGCTGAACACATTTCAATGTAAAAATACTGCACACAGAGCCCTAATATATTAAGTTCTTCCTTCTTTTTCTGAAGGATGATCTGGACCACATTGGGACAGCTCAGTCCAGAACTCTGCTGCATTTCTATCACTGAAAGTCAATGAATTAAGAAAGGCCGGGAATTTTAGTGGATGCCAAGGAAGATGTCCAGGTGTGCTTTGGTGCAGGTGGACACCGTGTTACTAACTATAGTTACAGGGCATAACCAGATTCACTTCTGTGTCTATTTCTATGCAAGGAATATACATAGAATATAACATTTGGAGTGCAGAGAGGGGGGCCAACTATCGCACATTACAGTCTACTCATCTCTGTCCAGTTCCAAGGAGAAGACTGAAGGACAAAGGTGGACAAATGACACCGCAGTTTCAGTTAGCTAGTGAAGATTTGCAGACAGAGCATGAGAACCAGGCCACTGTAGAAAAGGATGGAGATGTTTCAGAGTGGGGGTGGGGATTGAGACAAAATTCCTTGATCCTGTCAAAAGAGATCAGGTGGAACAAGCAGACCTATTACAAAGTATAGGTATTCCTGCTGTCTAGCCCTTGAGTACCAAGAGCCACCCTGAAAGTGGAGTCAGAAGCTTCGCTGAAAGGGAGGGGAGGAGGAGAAATTTTTAGTTTGGATTCAACTCTTTACATGGGCAGATGCTTCTCCTACATCTCAAGTAGAAAGTTACTTGTATTATTATTCTTCCATAACCTTTTAAATTTGAATATCATAACTGTGCTTCTAAAGTTTCATCTGAGTCAGCTGGAGAAGAAAATGGGGAGGGAGAGTCATGCTCACAACACAGGGCTTCTGGGATATCAAGAGGTGACAAGCAATGCAAGATACACCTTGGAGACTTTCCATGTCCTATCTGGAAAAGTACCATCAAGGGGAAACAGTGATTATATGCCTTGTAAGGATTTGTCTACACAAAGGCATATGACAATATAACTGGGCCAAACCCCTAATATTTTTACATTTAGGACCTTAACAGGTTTCATGTGTTTTCTATTTAAGGAGTATTTCAACTTTTCATTTCTATAGCAACATGAACAAAAACATAAACGCTCACCTCTCTGCTTCCTTTTAAACCATGCTCCTATTACATATGAATGGTATACCACAGTTTGTCTGACAATGGTTGCTTTTAAACTGAATATTTTCAACACTGAGTTTGACTTGGTATTCAGAATGCTCAGTCTGATAGAAAGCTTTCTACACACCACACACAAAACTGACATTTTCTGTTGAAAGTCCTTTCCAAAGCAAATTACTTTTGTTTAAAGCAAAGATCTGCCCTTTATTTTCCAACCACCACCCACTCTTCTAAATAAACAAGTGAGCTGATGTTGCATAGGAATTTTAATTGTTTCCATAACTCTTACTGTCTGCCAAAAAGTACTTAATGTGAGATAGCTGAGGGAGGATACAAAAAATCTATGTACACAATCATGCAATGAACGGAAGCAGATTAAAATTTTGCTTCCATAGACCTTATTTTGGGGAAAACATACACCCCCAAAATATGTGGAACCCAGCAGCATAAATGTAAGGTGCTATGGCCACTCCTACAGTGCATGACTGCAAACTCTTACAGTGCATGACTTCAATGAAAAGCAGAAACACTGAAGATTAGATTACCTGAACTAACTTAATAGTGAAAGAAAATGTGGGTCTGGCCAAAGTACTCTTAGCACTGCAATTTGCTTACTGATATTAAAAGCAAGCCAGGAGGTGTTCATTGCCACACCTTTGTTATGTCAGAAAAAGATCATGAACATAACTGAAGATCTGTGATCTGATAAAAGAGAACTTAAATTTTTTTGGAAAAATAGCTAGAAATACAACAGATACTGTTATCCTTACAACTATATGTAATGTTTATATACAAGTCAAATTTGTTGGGTAATCATTTAGATTGAGTCAATTAGCAAGTCACAAGTAACTGTGGGTTAATTAACCTTAGGGCACTGTCACAGCTTATCTTCCCCTCCCCACTCTGATCCTGAAATTTCATCATGCAAAATAATTTGGTGCCTCAGAAAAGAGCAATTAAGGTGTTGGTTTGCTGGAAGAGGGGAGAAGGTGAAAAATGTTTTTCACCCCTAATGATTGTCTTTTGTGGTGCACACTTAAAACTATGCAAAGTGTGCAGGCTTGGCTTGGCTTGTCAATGCCATTGTCAATTTCAGTTCCCACAGAAACAAAGAGAAGTAAGTAATATACATGATATCTGATAGACCAAAATTGAATATAGGCTAATCTGTACGCAGTTGTCAAGATACAAGTCAACTAAGAAGCCCCAATGAAAGAAGAAAAATGGATAAAGAAGGTGTACTAAAAGGGAATGGGGCAGTACCATCTACTTATCACTGTTAACTTCTGGCTTTTAAGTTCTTAGCGAACATTTCTTGTTTATTTTATTGTAATATGCTTAGAGAAACCCTACTGGATCTGTAACCAATCCTTGCAAACCATGCTTAAATTGTTATTCAAATTTCAGATGACACAGAAACCCATGGTGGCTCAACAACTCCTGTAACTAGCCATAGGTGGTCAGGGTGAGTTACTGCTGAAAAATAAGCTTAACAGTAGGAAGTATTCTAGGTTCAGACAACACAAGAACCCATCATGGCTAGTTACCCATGATGAACTGTTGTGTCATGAGAACCCAGTCAAGCATGGGTTAAAGGCAAACAAGATGATATTCAAAGCATTAAAATTTTACATGTGTCTTCCTAAATTATAGGGCAAGATGAATGAATAATGTCCAAGTCTTCACTTTCAGAGTTGGAAGCCTTTGCGAATTTACTACTATATTCCCCTTAAAAACTTCCTCTTTTAGTAGCTTCAGCTTTTTCAAAATATGACTGCATGACTCTTGAACTTTCAGATTCAGTGCTCTTGCAGGAAGTACTGGAATCCAAACAAATATATAATATTCGTAACTTTAGACTACTACCAGTGGAAATGCCCATGCTGCTTTTGGGTTCAGAACTTGCCTTTCACAGCTGCAAAGGAAATGACAAGCGAAGAAAAACACAGGCCACAGAGATCAGCAATTAATTCCATCCACAATTGGCCAGATGTTTGCATATAGAGAAATCTGTCTGTTTCCTTTAGGGGCTGTTGCCACTGAAAACTGATCTTGTGCTTTCAGAGACACAAACTGTTTGTAACATGTTAGGAATGCACACTGGATCACACAGAGCTCAAGAAATCAAATCCAGACCTGGCTGTCTTTGCAGCGTGTGCTGCATATCTTGACTAAGAGGATCAAGTTATTCTATCGTCTCCCCACTCCCTTGATAACAATGGACAACTGCCAGTTCCCTCAGATTATGTATCCTGAGTGCTTCCAGTTGTTCTTTACTGGCAAAAGAAAGGTGTGACATTCTGAGGGTTTTACCTTTTGTGGCATGTTAAAGTCATCCAAAGCTTCAGGATTTTAGGAAGCACTTGCTAAATAGAATCAATGGTGCACACAGTTGGCAAGTGATCTTTAATTTCTTGAAGAAACTTCAAGCAGCCCAACATTTCTAGTAAAGAAACACACATGGACAATATTAAGTCTCAGTGATGTAGTAAAAATACCTGCAGGGGACCTTCCCATACTCTGTATTATACACTATAAAGAAACCTACCTAGGTAATATGGTATGATAAAGCATAGTTGTTTTACCCAAGAACAAACCATCCCCTTTGTAAAGAAGCAGCACTGTTTACAGTGCAGATTACAGGAAGTGGACATGCCAAATATATGTAATTATCACATAGCCCTATGTTTCTACTGATGTTTTATGGGTGGTATTGCCTTTTTCATATGTACAGAAAAGGATTTCTTTATAGCATTTAAGCTAGAAATGTATGATATCTAAAAACAGAGAAGGTCAACATCAGCGAGTGGCTTCAATATTTTTCTTCCAGTTAAAAGATGTTAACCCAGTACATCCGATGTCTTAAATAATTGTTGTTTTTAAAGTTAGATTGTAGTGAAAACAATAAAATTTATTTAAAAATATTTTTCTTCCAGTTAACAGCTACATATGGGTTTTTGGTTTTTTCCATATTCAAGAAAATTTTTGGCAATTTTCTTAGATGAACAAAAACAACTTTGGTTTCAAACATAGACTGTTAAAGAATCAATCTAAAACCAAATTAAAATATCTGGTCAAATCACATTGGATACACTGATACAAATTCATTTTTGTTTAGTGTAAAAAGTACTTGACTATGAAAAATACTTCTCTCCTGCCCCATATATGCCCATCACCTTCTATCACAGGTATTCATTTTACTTCCTTGCGTAATGAGCTCAGAGTTTGTAAATACACATAAAATAAGAATAGCCAACTTTTGATAGAACAGTGTATGGCAGAGGAACACGTTACTGTTGTTGTTTTTTTTTTTTAAGACATCAGACCTTTCAGTTCCTTATCAGGGTGCTATTCTCTGAGCCTCTTTTGGTTGCTGTTGTGATTGCATATTAGAAAAGTATGCATGAAAACTAACAATTACTGTAAAAACTATGCTACTCTACAACAAGTAAAACAATTTTTGAAGACTCTAGAAAAAGAATGTGTATAATGATACTATAATGTCTGAGATGCTGCAGCATGTATTTCCACTACTCAGTTCATTTGTTAATCTTCAGTTCATGATAAAAATAAGCCCCATTACGAGATAATGTACTGTCCAATTCTCATATTCTTGAACTTCAAGATTTCATTAATTCATATAGATTGGCCATATCCTAAAAAACATCAGGTTTGTTCTTGCCTACATAAGCTTTTAAGAGTAGGTGTGCTTCCTACCCATTCTCATACAAACAGCAGCAACAAATGGGTGCCAATGCTAGTTCAAGTTGGCAAGATACCAAATCAATAATACAACACAAGACAGAACTGTGCAAACATGACCAACTGAGATGGTGTGTACATTTAAATTTAATTTAATTAATTTAAACATTTATATCCCGTCCTTTCTGACAAACGGCTCAGGGTGGTTTACAATGATTAAAAAAATATTATACTAATACAATAATTAAAACAGTAAATATTAAATCAACATAAACCAACACATCATAAAACTGAGAGAGAGAGAAGACAGGAAGAAAAAGAACAGAAAATGTGACTATGGAAAAGATCTTAAAACTTCTAAAAGCCTTATTATTAAAATACTGGCTGAATGAAAAGGTTTTTACCTGGTGCCGAAAAGAGTATAAAGTCGGCACCAGGTGAACCTCTCTAGGGAGCGCATTCCATAGTCTGGGTGCCACTGCAGAGAAGGCCCTCCTCTGGGTAGACTTCCTCTGTACCTCCTTCAAAGAGGGTTCTCGGAGCAAGGCCTCTCCTGCTGATCTTAAGGAGCATGAGGGCATATAGGGAAGGAGGTGATCCTTCAGGTATTCTGGTCCCAAGCCATTTAGGGCTTTATAGGTTAACACCAGCACCTTGAATTTGTCAAATACTCCTCAATGTCAACATAATACAATACTGAAATGAGGAAGTACACAATTCAACTCAAAACCTAATACGTGTTAAGTTGAGCATCAGTGTTCTAACATACACTCAAGCCAAATCATATTATAACTTATTAAAGTAATACCACTAAAAATTAATTATTTTTCCATAATACAAAGATGAATACACACTTTCCCATATACTAGTTTGGTGTGCAATATTACATTTTTTTGTCAGTAATAATTAAATGTTGAAGAAATGCGCCAATGCAGTAACTCCCTTCCTAATAGTAGGTGAGGAATTCCACGTAAAGAATTAAAAGTAAAATTTAGTATCCAAAAACTTGTAGTCATTGTATTCTGCTTTGGGAAGCACTGGGATAGAAAACTGTGGTAGCCTTATTTTCTTATTCACACATTGCTGACCTTTTTCCTCAAATAGCTGGAAGTGGACAAGGACAACATTTAGGCTAATACCACAACTCCTACCTAATGATGTTATACCACAAGTCTACCCAGGACCATTTTCTTGGCTTTCAGTGTCAGGCTGTTGGATATCCCAGAAATTTCTTCAATGGAGGTTCTTGAGCTCATGCTATATTGTGCAACACGTGTTAACACAGGAAAAGTTTAGTTCTTCTCAATTTCTAGTCAATATTTGTAACCAAACAATGTGACCGAAGGTTAAGAAGTAACAAGGGAAGCAACTCAGAAGCCTTATGTTCAACTTATGTTCTTTGAACCATTAGCTTCAATTCTTTCTCATCCCTGAATAAAAACTCTGTCTTCAAAAAGACTTTTTCATACAAAGACTTAAAAGTTAATATACAAGGTATAACGTCAGCATTCCCACTTTACAGCACTAATAGGAAGAAAGTGCTTTTGAACTTTGTATTCAAAATGATGGATCCCAAGTCCAAACAAGTACAAAAACAAAAGGATACAGATAAATATTAAGGTATGGAATAACTTTGTCTGACCATTTTTTGAAGAATGTAAGCAAATAAGATACTCCATTAGCTCAAGTATTTAATACAAACACAATCTTGGATAGTATCCAAATAAAACAGACATCACCCTGAGTAGAGAAACACCTGACTCTCAACACAACTCAACAACAGGCTGCATATTTATATCTCCACAGTGGTAATTAAACTCTTATGTCAAAGCTTTCAAACTATGGATATGCCACTCTGACAGCTGGACAAAGTGATGCCCAGAGGGGCATAAATTGGAGCTCATGTTGATGGGCGTGGCTGAAATTTGGCTTCAGATAAGTAGCGGGTGCAAACGTAAGTGCAAACACAGGTAAGCTGAGAACAGTGTTAGTAATTAAACTCAATAGGCACACAAATTCTGCATCACTTGCTTTGTGCAAGTACTAGCTCATACAGTAGGTTTTCTATCTTGGCAGTCCTTTAAACCTAACAGAGAAATAAGTCCCACCAATGATTGCCCAGTTTGTAGATGTTTCCTTGCACATATGTCACCCGGGGTTGTCACAACTGCTCACATGAACAGAAAATAATTACTCAAAATATATTTATCTGTATTTTATTTACATCATGTTTCCTCACTCATCTGCCAAAAAAGCCCCAGAGAGTGGCTTACACAAATAAATATGACAGTTTCTGCCCTTAAACTTACAATAAGCATACAACTATTTCTGAACCCACCTAAATTAGCCCACTAAATTGATTTTGAACACAATTTAATCTAGCAGACCATACTTAGAATAGAGTAACTACCTTGACAGGCCTACAGTATTTGACCACATGAATCCATGCCCAAGGAAGTTCACTACTGCGTATCTGCACAGACATGCACTGCAAAAAAAAGTTTAGGATTTAGACTCCAAAAGTCCAATAGAAATTAGCAGACTATCTGTGGGGTTCACTTAAGAAAAACACAGTAGCAATTATTTTCCTAAACCAATATGAGAAGCACCTGGGAAAACCTGCTGTTACCAAGTGAACAGGACTAAATGTTAAGAAACAGAGCCACTTTAACATTTGCAACTCTCATAACTTCCTTAAGAAATTTGGCTGCAACGTGATTTAGAAATAAATAAATGAATAAATAAATAGGAAAGAGACAGGAAAGATTCATAGCTATTTCCATGTGTGCGTAAAACAATGAAAACAAAATTACACAATATCCAAACGAATCCAGAATGCTTGCACAACACTTGATTCTGGCTTGGTATGAGTGGGCTGAATCCAAGATCTGACTTCCACGGGTGGAAGAGCTCAACACACGGAAGCTGCTTCTGCTAAATTTTCAGGGCCCACACCCACACCCCAAATCACAATTCTCCTCATTCAGCAGGGTGCTATGACCCTTTCTGTAGATTTTTCAGGGAACTGAAGTGACTGTCATGAAAAAGAATGAGCAGAGAACCCCACTTCCATTAACCAAATGACAAGGATAATATCAGTCCTAAAAAGCAGTTAAGTGAATTTTTAAAAACTAACAGCTAAAGCAGTGGAGAATACGCAGTTCTTTGCTTTGAGGTGATCATTAGAGAGGCAATTAAGAGCTTTGAAATGAAAACAGAAATCTACTATTATATATATTAGAATAGAAAAGGGTCCCTCATTCATCAAAGCTATATGATTTAAAAGGGCTGTTTATATTAGTAATACAAATGTAATTAAAACAACCCTGTTGCTTTGCAGCTTAGGGAAAGCATACTAGTATGCTCCATAGCTTCATCCATGAAGGCCTCTCCTCCATTTTTTTGGAGGGGGGAGGAGTTTAAAGAGCAGAAAAGATGCACCTAATTGAGAGAAAACATCTGCTCCTTCAACTGTAATGAACTGCCATGTCACAACATCACTGTTCAATACAGGAGCAGGGAACCATAACTGGGTGGTTTGTTGGGGCAAGTGACCCCCTCCCAACCACAGATGTGATGAGGTCATGGAGTATGGCCATGCTCCAAAGCTGTGAAAGGTGTGGCCCTGCCTTAGCATTATTTGCTCACCAGCCAATGTGCCAGTTTGAGCTCTTCCCTGTCTTTCTCCAGCCAGATATTCATAGCTGATAGAAGCTCTATCATGCCCCTTTCCTGTGATCC